TTAGTTTGCTACCTCTTTTCCACGATTAAACAAGTTTTTTGCAACAGAATCCCAATAAAAAATGACCAAGATGTCGTCCTTTAGGATCTTTCAACAGCTCTCAGCAGAACTGGTCTTTATGTAAATCACCCAGGATTTACTGCAGGCGTTTCCGCTTTGTTGTGCTGTACACTTTGCTGGCTATGTTAGGAAAATCTGACTAAATAGCACAGATCATCAGAACACTAGTGAAGAGGAACTGTTCCTGACCGTCCTGATTTGGAGCAAGAACATTGTTGCATCAGAAACTGCCAGCAGACTTCCAAGCCAAAGTTGACAGTTTCCGTATGTTCGTTGAAAAGCCCACAACTGAACACAACATGTCATCAGAACCTTTCAACAACATGGACAAGATCCTCCTCATGTTAGACAACTTCAAAAAGGATTTGACAAAGGATTTGCCAGAGTGACTGGCAAATCCTTGTCTCTGTTCATGATACATTTTTTGGCTTATACGAGTTATAGTTTGAAAAATTTGGTCAATACGGACCTCTTGACATGGGAAGAGTTTACATGGGTTAGTCAGTAAAACATAATGTTAACTCAAAGGTAACCAAATGCACACAATTGAGACAGTAGGAGCAAGATATATGATTATATCTCCCATGAGAACATTGGAACTCAGGGTACGGTAGGTAATCAGCAACAAAGAGGAGATTACCTGTCGCTCTCATCCCATGATATACAGGTTTGGTTGGTAGTGCCCTACAAATGAGGAACAGAGAAACAGAATCATCACAATGAATTTAAGACCAACTGGGCATGCACTCTGACATCTGAAAGGACTTTAGAACAGACATGAAATTTTTTACTGACGTTGTGTAGGTGGGAAAACTCGACCACAACAGGTGTAGAGAGGGAAGCAGGGAGGGGCTTGATTGTCACTGACAAAAGCTTAGAGTTGAGGATAGTGTTGTTTCTGCAAAACAAACAAACAAACAAACAAAAAAAAACAATAAACACCACAATAACATGAAATATCCAATTAAAAGTGCACTAATAACTTATACACTAATGGTCACCGAACTTGTTCTTGTTGCTAACTGATGAGTTTTCCTCCTGGTTTCTAAAACACCAAAGCAGCTATATATAATCAACCAGATTATAATTGAGAATCAAAAATAAAAATCAATGTTTTTATTGCTGGTAGTGACAAATAATGTTTGGGTTATAGTAGGTAAATGTTTATTTTTTAAAATAATAACATTACTTTTTACTTCCTGATGGTAATAAATGCTTTTGTAGTACATGACTTCAGGGTCTGGTTTTGAAAAGATTGATGGAGCTTTCTAGTTTTTAGTCATGTTTCCAGACATTACAAAATCAGGCTTGTTTTGGATTTTTATCACAATCACAACAATCACACTAAAGCGATGCTATCTAATATGGAGAGATTATATGAAAAATAATATTTATATATTACATTCAGAACATATTGAAAGAAAAATTATATTCTGAGGTGGGTCAATGAGTTATTGACCCACAGACTTTGAACTGTGAAATAATATGCTACACAAATAAACTTAACTTGAGTTGAAACTTGATCCAACAGGCTGTTAAACCTCCAGTGGAAAGTTCAAATGTTTTAGGAAAAGTAATTTTCTTCTCCCCAAATCTGAATTGCATTTCTTTGCAAAAGCTTTTATGAATTTTAGTGCATTTGTTGTTAGGTTATTTGCTCTTTACTTAGTATGCATTGCAGTGTCTGCCTTCATATGAACTATCAATCATGTTGCAAAAGACTATGTGGGGAAAATGAATTGCTACTGGACGCATAAAAAACAAAATAACCAAACATGGTCAACAGCCCGTAGTTGTTTCCTGCTCACTCACATCATCATGGTGTCCTCTCCCCACAATCAAACTCTCAGCTCTTAGAAGCACAATCAGTCAACTTAAACATTTGTGTCATCTAGTTTCTTGCTTCAGACTCATGTCATTTTCCCTGAGAGTTACATTAAATGCAGAACAGGAAAGAGGTTAGGAATGAAAATGCAAAAGTAAAGATGAGAAATATAGAATGAGGCAGAGGACTGAAAAAATGACAGAAATCCAAAGTTTAGCAAGAGTTACAGTGGAGGGGGTGAACTTGTGTTTGTCTCATTTTCCTGCTGCATATGTTACCAGTATATTATATGCTTTCAGCACATTATCATAATGGACATCTATTTCCAAGTGTCAGCACAGCTGTATGTAGCTGGTTGGACTCAGAAACTCATTTACATGTATTTATGTTCATTAACTTAGAAATATCTTCCCGTCACATTTCAAGCTACTTGACTTTACCACAATGTAAAAAAAAAATAAAAAATGTGACCAGTAGATTTTCATGCTACGTTTAATTTAGTCACCATTTTGTTAATCCAAAATTGAAATTGCCCACATTTTTACATTAAATCTCAAAGACATTGAAATAAAGTAGAAAAAAATAAAAACATATTAAAGTCTTAGTTGAAAATTTCTTCAAATTTCTACAATGAATTTACCCTTTTTTATTTTTACAGATTTCTTTTGCAGTGCAGTAACAGAATTTTCTATTATAAAATATAACCTAAAGCTTTCTGTATCCAAATCATTGTTTCCAAATAGCTGAAACTCATCCAGGTAAGTTCAAAGTACTTTTCAACAAATCCTAAAATTATTCCAGTGTTGAAAATGTCACAGTGGTTCATGTGAACACCATTCTTCATCCTTAGAAGCAGCATCATATTTTCATAAGATGATTAATTGCGTACACGTCCATCCCCTTTAGTCTTACCTTTGCAGAGACAAAATGCTGCCCAGGTTCCTGTAGAGAACAACGCCGGTTACGAAGGTCGAGTCATCGTCTGCTTCTGTGTTTGGGAGGAGCAGAAGTGAGGACATGGTGAGCTGGCAGGTCAAAGTCATGAAAAGACTGCTGATGCATTCTGAATGGCTGAGTGTGTAGGAGAGAGCAGGTCAGCCATGCTGCCTCTGCGCCTACAGCCAAACAACACCATACCTCACACCTGAGACACACGTGTCAAGGACACCTAAATAGATTTCATCATTTTCATAGATTAGTAAATGAATAGGCATGTTCAAGAATCATTGTTTGGTTTCATGTTCTTTTCCAAATGTGGCTACTTGTGATGACTTTCATGAAGAAGGGACTGTCAGAGAGCAGGATGGCTGCTGAGATTTAGCTTTTAGCATCAACAGAGCTACACTGCATGTATAAACTGAGTTAACGTCAGAATGTTCAGGAAATTAATTAGAAAATGTTCTGGAACATGCATCAAATACTGTTACAGCTGAGTGTTTTAGGGACTTAACCATTTCCAACCTAAAAAACTAACACTGCTGTGCTATAGATAGCTGATTTAAATTAGAACTTCTGACACTTTTTTAAACTCACTAAATAAGATGTCGATCTGTCCACCGTCCATGAGGTACCGTACTTTTAGACTTTTCTGTGTGTGCAAAATGCATCTCCAATGGTGTGTTATCTAATGGTTGCAATGCCAAATCCATTGTTTCCATACAAAACTCTCAGGCTGTACATAATCTTGTACACCAAACGCTTGTTTAGGTTTTGGCAGTGAAATATATATAATTTTTTGTCTTAACAATTTTGCAACTTTTTATAAGTCATAAAAGATATATTTTTTTTAAATTCACACATGGCAGAAACTCTTAACACACACATTATGTTCATCCTATCATTATATGATTCAGCATATTCATAATTGTCATAATTACTAAGTTTTGTATTCTTAGTGCTTGGATTTGATCACATTTTGTTGGCTTCTGTTTCTCCATTTATTGTTTTAAAATTGAAAACAGGTTCTCAGTGGAGTAAAGATCCTGACCACAGGTTCAAAAACTTTAGTGATTTTGGAGCCAGTTTGTTCTAACTATTCCCCTGATTCATGCTGCTCCATCATACTGGAAAAAAACAGAGACTATCATCAAACTAAACTTAGATCAATGGTTCTTAACCTTTTTTGAGGTACCGAAATCCCAAGTTTCATATGCGTATTCACTGAACCCTTCTTATCCCCCCCCCCGCGCCGACACACAAAATACTTTGCAGTATTCTGATTTAGTAATGTAATTATATTAGCTGCATTAACACCCCCACGCTACTAGAGGCAGTACCAACCCCGAAAAGATGCGACTATGGAGCAGATTTAGAAGTACACCAAAAGCTACAGAATTTGGTAAAAACGGTGAGTTTTGCTGAAGTAATTAAAGACACAAGTTCAAATCCATGCTGAGAGTGGAACTCCTTCAATCAGTGCTCCTTCGCAGCTCTGATTGTCTCAGCAATGTAACGTGATCCTCTGCAGCAAGTGATGGCAAAGTAGGGAGAGTCATCACGACTTTACACAAGTGTGTCTTTACCTCCGCAGCAGAGGCTCCACCGAACCCCTGAGACCGACTCACCGAACCCCAGGGGTTCTATCAAACCCAGGTTAAGAACCACTGACTTAGATGATAAGAGGAAGTCGCTTATAGAAAATTCTAATGTTATGCCACCATTTAGGAGCCAGTCCACTTCTTTAAAATGTCACTGTGTTGTTATATTCACTACAAAATAATTCAATCTTTCGGCAAGATTTTATAATTTTTGTTTTAAGGTTCTGACTTCCAAAGAGACAAATGGCCAGCCTCAGAGTAACTGCCCTGGCAGGATAGAGTCCTCCCTAGGAGCTCAGGCTGCTGGAGGAGACAAAGCTGAGAGAACAGACATGACCCAGAGCAGAAGCCCAGGCTGGTTCCAACAAAGTAAACAGCATCCAACCTGACCGGAGGATGTCCTCTTCCTGTTCTGATGAGGAGGTTTTCAGGCATCAGGTTGTACCTGATCTGCAGGTCCTTCTCTCTTTGAACCGTTTCTCTAAATTTTTTCAAACTTTACCTTATGACAAGTATTTAGAAAATCCTAATTATTTCCAAAAAAACTCAATGTTCAGAGAAAGACTCATCAGTCAAATCTATTTTTCATTAAAGGGTTCTGATGTCCATCTCCAGCAGTCATTGGGTGGTCTACCACAGGGCAGCACAGATGTCCTGTAAAGCAGAACTGTTGTCTGATCGACACACTCATACCTAAAGGACCACTTTAGATAACTCAGTTACCTAGTGGTGACAGGATGTTGGAGTACCCTGAGAGAAACCATGCATGCACAGGGAGAATAGTTCTACCAACTGTGCCACTGTGCAGCATAAGAGCTTGAACTTCCTGCAGGACTTTCTGGAAAGAACTGGCCATCTTCTTGTCTAAGGCAGCTGTTCTACTGCCTCACTGTAGATGCAGATGTGTCACACCCAACTGAGGCTGAGCAAGTTCTCCGGAATTGATACCAGGTTCTCCAGAGCTCTCCTTTGCAGTAGAAGATTCTAAAACATTTTTCACTTCAGTTATGCCTCCCAAATTGAATTTTTTGATGATCCAAAAGATATTCCAGCTGTAGGTTTGTTGTATGTATTTAGATGCAAGGAAAGGATGTTGAATCCCAGTCTGTGACTTCAATTGTCAGAGAGATTTCAGTGTCTGTTCTTAAAGTACCAAAGGCAAAAACACAATGAAATGGGCTTTGAGAAAAAAACTTTCACACAAACAGGATATATGTGACTGCTCTCCACAACAATCCAAAAACAATGTGTACTCACATTTTAAGTGAGTACACACTCACTTAAAATGAGTGTGTACTCACACTCATTTTAGAACCAGTCCAAACACTGGTTCTGTTTGCACCATTCTTTGACTTACCAAAACAAAACCTATTCAGAAAACTCCTCCAGAGGTCTCTGGACACTGTGTAGTTTAGAGGCCCACACTGATATGAGCTGCTACTAAACATGGCTTTAGCTTTCATAAATTTTCCCATTTCAGAGCAGCATGAAAGGAGATTTATCAAAACTTGACAACTGGACTCAACAGTAGCACTGGGCTGAAACGAGACCCAAACCGTAGGAAAACACGCCTCCATCTGTCGGGCCATCTGAAGACATCCAACTCTTCTGCTCCAGTACAGCCTGGAAGCGCACAGCAGTGTGCCAGGCAGTATGCAGAGACAGTGCCTCCCAGGCAACAACTGAGCTCCCATGGGCATCACAGGGGAACCAAGCAAGATGTGTGGGAGTGTGAGGGGGATGAAGTATTATGTGTCCTGCTCATGCACTCTCTGGCCACACCAATGCAATGTGCTCAGCCAGATCGAGTGTGCCCAACAACAACTAGTCTGGAGGGATTCTAACCAATTGGTTCAGAAAGGAAAGACCAAAGGAAAGAACAAAATATACATTTGCTTATTCAGAGCAAGCAAAAAGCATATGGAATCAACTCTGAAATAAAAAGATCTATACCAGTATGCACCAATTCTTTGTAGATTTATAACAAAACTTTAGGTAAGTGAAGAAATTATTTCTAAAGCAACAATGCATGTTATATATTATTTATATATGTATATGCATATAAAAATATACATGTACATATATATTTATGTTAGTATGATAAAATGGGCTTTCACTTTACACACAGAGTGCCAAAATACATTTTATTAAGAAATTAAGTGAGATTTTTGTTTTATTTATATTAGGTTAGAAAGTGTAATATTTAGATATGTTTCTTATCATTTAAACAGATAAATAAATTGTGAGACTCCAGTTACCATCAAGCAACAGATGATTAGAACTTCATGGGTTTTTTGGGGGGGGGGGTTTAAATACAGTTTTGCAAAGTAACATACTTTGCTACATTAATGGAGGTCCATCACCATTTTGTGAGATTCCTTTTAAACATCCCAAAATAAGATACCAAAGCCGTTTCATCAATGTGAACAAGTGAAAATCGTATCCTTGATGTGCTGGCTGATGGTGGAATATTACTGCTTGGGAGACACTTTCCTCAGTCAGCGAGGAAATTACCTTTAATTGCACCTGATTGGATCCCCTTGACTCTTGATTAGGAATGACTGGCTCATTAGTATCCTGCTTGTTTTAAAGAGCCTCAACACTCACTGATAAACACCCAAAAGTGCTCTTTAGCACAAGGAACGGCACGGGTCAGCAGATGGGAAACAAACTGCCGGTTTGTCAACATAGAAAGCTTAGGTCTTACCAAAACACACTTGTTTTTCAAGAAAGTTGTAAAAATTGAAAACTGCATGCAGAAAGATCCAGTCAATTAAAAACAATATTTTCCGGGGGAGTAATAATTCTTCACATATATTATTGACTCTGAGAGGTACAACTGGTGTCAGTAACTGGATGTTAGATAGTTTTATGGATACATTTAAAATGACCGCCTTTGGGGTGTAGCGCAGGAAAGTAATTAAAGTTGCTAAGGGTCTAGTTACTTTCCACTGAAAGAGTCATTTCACAATCAGTTGTTCTGGAGCACTCAATGCAAACCATCAGTGGTCAGTTTTCTGCATGGTTTTAATTTTTCCCTGTTTTAACATGCCACATTTAAATGGAGAAAATCCACCTTATCCTGCAGGATTAGTGGGTTAATGAATTGACACACTAACTTCACAATCTTCTGTGACCAGCGACAGGAAAGTTATTTTGAAAAAGTAACTTGATATCTGATTACCGATTACTCCTGGACAAAGTAACTTAGTTACTTTACAGATAGTTTCATATTAAAAGTAACAGTCCTGGTCGCCTCAACCTAAACATGAGAATCAGGGTGAGTCAGTAGTGTTTAAGGCCAGCTTCTTGTACTCAGCTTCACTTACTGATTTTTGTACCTAAGTTCAGCTTTTTTCTGTTTGGGTGGTGGTTGTGTGGGAGAGCATGCCGTGCATGTTTTGTCACAGCTTTCTGCTTTACACCACCTGTTAGACTTGCTTTGTCAGTTTGACTCAAATGTCTTTTTCAAATTCAATGTTGAACTTTTGTAGCCAGATAACTTGGAAAATTGACCTAATACTACAAAACCTGACAATAGAGAAATATTTACAAATGACAGGAAAAAAAAGTCACAATAAATATAAATTCACATTAGTTGACATAAGCCTAAGAATGTATGTACAGTACAAAAATAATTGAAAAGTTATTATTTTTCCTGTTGTAATGTTTGTCTCATCTTATTCAAGCAGACTGTGATCTGTACATCAGCAATAGCTCGTAAGCTTATTCTGGGATTGATGGATAGAGGCTCCATCTTCCTCGAGCGGGCTTTGACACTCTGTCCTTTTTGCATTAAATTGCTGCATGAGTGAAGTTCTGAAATCTCTTGTTATTCTGTCTCCCCTTCTTTCAGAACTTTGTCACAGAACAGAGGGAACAACATACCTTGATGCTGTCATTTTTAGCAGACACCAACGCAAAATAATGCTTTTATTTCCAACATGCTTCTCTTTCCTCCCTCCATTGTTTACGTTTGTGTTGCTGCATGATATTACACATGAGATGTTTCTCAAGAGGAAAGCAAAAATGTATGTTTTTACTATGTAAAATGACAAAAATAGTAAAGTGTTAGATTATATTTTACAGAAAAAATGGGTCTTATTAGAGTAAGGCATTGATGACATCACTGATCATAATATAACCCTGGTTCTCTTGTTTTCGGAATCTCTTAGCATCATAATTTATCCTCAGATTAGAGGTCAGGACCAGGAAAGCACTGCTTCTCATCCAATGAATGTCCTGAGAAAATAGAATTGACAATTTAGACTCAGGTGTTCCAATTATTTTAAATGTGCTCAGGTGTATACAATCTGTATACAATCCAGCAGCTGGGGAAGCAGACTGCTCCTAAAAGAATGGGCTGTTTTCAGGAGCTGAATGATGTCCAGTGTAGTAACATGGCAGAATGCCTGTGTAATAAAGCAGTTTATTACATTTCCCGGAGTTTAGTGTTGAGGGACATAATTGTACTCCATAAAGTCCTGACCTAACCTGATCAGACACCCTAATTCTAAATTACAGCAAATAATGACAGCCAGACTTCTTGCCCCACATCAGTGTCTGACCTCTAACATCCTATTCAGGAAAAAGGTCAGAAATCCCCAGAAACAGACTTGTAAACCTTGTGGAATGTGTTCCAAGAAGAGTTGAAGCTGTAAGCATTTTAAAAAGGTTGTAAAATTATGTGTTATATGCTTTTACTGAATATTCTGAAGTTTTTGTGTCTTGAAGCTGAAGATTGACCTTAATTCTATTTCTCAATTAAAGTTCTCCTCAAGGAATATGACCACATCATGCATTGTATTGTCCAAAGTGCTCCACATTGAGCCTGTACATGCGTGGTCACACTCACTGCTCTTGTATAATATAAAAGAGAAATGAGTGAGATTAATTAACTACAAGAAGATAACAGATATTGAATATTAATCTGCACTTTTGGGATTTTTTATTTTTATTTTTTATTTTTGCTGGGGGACCAGCTTTGCTCCTGCCTCCTTGTTGTGATTGGTTGCTTCATCTCAACACTGAGTTGATATCTAGGGGTAGCAGCATCAATTACTGCTACATGTTAGATTAAGTTCAACCAGATCTCTTTAAGAGACGAGCTGAACTGTTGTAGTTCAGGGAGCTGTTGTTGTTGTTTTGCTTATGTAATTTAAACCTTTCCAGAATATTTTTCCCCCAATTTATAAGCTGTGAAGACTTATTCTGGAAAACTTGAAAAAATACAAATGGAGTGTATTCTTGCTGAGATTTCCTCATTAAAACTGAGTATCCATTATGTAACAGACTATCAAATAATAACCCTACACACAAAGAAAACCCAGGATCTAATGAAGGGACATTTTTTGATTAAATCTAAGAGAAGTTTAATCAGTTTGTGTTTATTAACAAACATGTACATGGAATTTTCCTACACATTAAGAGTAACTTTGCTTTAAAGTCATGTTTGGATAATTCCCTTTGTGTGTAAGCAAGAATAAGCTTCTGGATGCTGCTATTTGCATTTCAGTGTCATCAGATTGTGAAGGCATGCAGGCAGGCTTTGTATTAATATCTTAAAAAAGTCATTTTTTGAAAACAACAAGCCTTTTTTGCAGCTGCTGAACAGCAGGTGACGTAGAATCCGTCCATTCTTCTGCATGTTTAATGTGCAACATTAAATCTGAGCGTCTCTCTGTGTGTTTATCTAAGTGGGGGGCTTTGCTCTGCAGATTAATAGCTGTAAACACTGTTTTACAAATTATCTAATTGTCACTATGTGTCTGCTTTTCTGTGCTGATAAACACACACAAAGAAACACACAACGTAGCCGTTCTGTTCTCAAATACAGGGTAGACTGTATTTGAGAAAAAACTCTGTTAAACTCTGTTATCAGATTTTGAAGAATGTTTGGAATTGACATTTTTAAGAGCATCTATCAAGCAGCATTTACCTGGCTTTCCAGTGGACAGGATGTTCTTTGGGATGCTGACTCGGTCCTCAGAGTTCCGAGCCCAGTCCACCATTCCTCTCCAGCCCTTCATAGGGAAGTTGAAGTCAGCCTGATCCATCACAGGACGCTTATGGATGCTTAAAACTGTAATCGACAAAATAATGACTGAAACACTTACATGGATTATCTACTGTATGTGAGCCTTCACAATTTCAACATTTGCTATAAAAAGTAAACACTCGCTCTTTCAACACATTATTAGCATTATTGTTGAACTGAACTGAATCATAACATCTCCTGGGTGCAAGCTGTATTGAGTCTGAGCTTGAGACATAACAGCCTGGTTCTACCCTGTCCACTTCTGGTATTTTGGTGAGAAAGATTAAGTTTTTTTTTTGATAAATGACAAAGGTTTTTTCTTTGTCTTATAGATTTATTATTTATCCTCTAAACGTATTTAGAGGGGACTTCAAGTTTTCATTTTCAGACACTGTAAAAACTTGGGGTAGGCTATATGTCAATGTTGTCAATAGGTCAGAATACACAGCGAAAATAAGCCAAAAATGCAAATATATTTTATGAATAAATAAATAAATAATACATACAAGAGATCTTTATTTGAAAGAAGCTAGTATCCTGACAAACAAGCCTGTTCTGGACAGATCTGATAAGTCACATTCTTCACAACTTGTCTCCTTTCAGGAGAGTGACAGTAAAAACTTTTATGGCAGTGCGGAATATACGTGGAGGAGGAGGAGCATCCTTTACATAGCACGGTTCATGTTTAATGTGTAGGAGGAGTAGAGGTCAGCCAGCCTGAAAAGACGTAGGCGGCAATTTGGCTCCAGACATTGAAGTAAGCATGACTCTTCTGATGCCTCAATCCCACATGTACTCTTCCAATCGAGATCAAGTTTTTATCTGGAGGTCACAGTAACCAGCGGCCTCTGTGAGGATCATTTCATGTTCATGCCTTTTCAAATGAAAAGTTGAACAACTGCAGCCAATGGGTAATACAGGAAAACAGCAGGTAGTTGTAAATTTGGATTCAAAATCTCAAAAAAACAACAACAAAACAACACAATTCCTCACCATTCTGCTTGTATAGCTATTTCCTGTGATAAAAGTAGGAAATATTATAAAAGTGAAATAGTTCTTCTTCCTAAGAAAGAACATATTCCTGAAACAAGAGGAAAATGAAAACCACCATTCTAATCTAAATCAAACAAAACCTTCCTATGAAATCACAGATCAGCCAACATTACAATAGACAGGTCACACATCAGATCACTCCTCTGATCACAAAGCCTTTCCATTTCAACACCAAAGTGTTGTTTTAACACACCTGTTCATTCCATAACACACAAAAAGCAACACTCAGCCTATCACAGTGATCCACTTAAGCCAGTGATCCACTTAAAGAAAACAATTGAGTAAACATTTTATGATGTTTTGATATATTAAAACTCTAATATTTAAACTCATGCTCAGGTTCACTTTGTCTTGAAACTAAAAAATCTTTATAATCAATGTGTTACACATGTAATAGGGTAGGGTTAGGGTTAACCCTAATTGATTAAAATAAATCAATTTATTTTCATAAAAATACAACTTATTTTAGTGAAAATAAATTGATTTATTTTCATTAAAACCACTGCTGTTAGCTCTATCATTGAATTAGTTCTTAACTGCACAATATTGTTTCAAGAATTTTGTTTTAGGTCAGATGATATTTTAATACAGAAGTCTATTTTTAGAGAAAGAAAAGCAACAAAAAGAAGATGCTTTTGATAGATATAATGCGTGAAGATGAAGCTAACCCAGGTTATCGGTGACTTCATACATGTCACGGAACTCTTTCATCCTTAAGCCGATGACATCCACAAAGTCCTCCATGAGACGGAACAGCTCCTTGATGTTGGAGCCCAGCTGAGAAAAACAGACACGAGAGTTGGAAAGAAGGAAAAGATTAGGAATATGAGAAGAATATTCTGAGCTGCTGCTTAAGTGTAAAACACACACAGACAACGTCCCACTGTTGCTTGTTGATTGAGAACCATGCTGCGTCCCACACCAGACTGCAACCAGCTTTAGCTTCACTTGGTACAATTCTTTGCTTTAATAGTTGTATGCTTCCAGTGTTAAACACTTTTGAAACACTGTTCAAAAGAAAAAAACATAAAATTCACCAACAGTTGTTTTGCAGCATCAACCATTTCGATCCTGTCAGTGCTTTCTGTTTTCAGTCAATGTCTCTGATGCTAAAATAGTTTCCATTTACAAAAATATGATTTTGCATATTCTAGTTTGCAAAACTTCATGTGAAACATAAATATCTGCTAAACGCCTGAGCCTTCTTCGTCATTTAACCCTTTCATAGTGGTCACTACAGTGGACAGCTATCTAAAAGCAATTTTCTTGTGCTTCTTGTGCATTTTTATGTTATAAATGCACACAGACCACTGAAGTGGACACTAATGCATCATAAAATACACTATAACTACTGGCCATCAGC